CAATAATGGAAACAGGAAGGCAAAGCAGGTCTTGTCTGGGAATTGGTCCCAGTGTGAGGGGAAAGGATATAAGGAAAGGGTGTAGGAGGGTGAATATGGTGGAATACTATGCACTTATGTTTGCATATGGAAAAATGAGACCTGTTGAAACTGTTCCAGGAATGGGGGAGGAGAATGACAGAGGAGTGAATTCAAGTGTGAGATATGGTAAGAACTTTGGTAAATGTCACAGTGTTCCCCCAGCACAACAATTGTATGGTAATAATAAAAAAGGAATTAAAAAAATCATTAAAAAAATAGAACTTTTGATAAATTGAGCTGAGAAATTGGACATCCATATGCAAAGAGATGCATTATAAACTTTTTATCACACCCAAAAATTAGCTGCAAGAATTACAAGAAGTGAAGGGCATTCACTTTTTAGAAGACAAAGCATCTTACAGGAAAGCCATTAGGGCCTTGGGTGAAGCAGGGTTTTCTAGATATGACTGACAAACACGATACTTAATAGAAAACAAGTGACATGTTAGACCTCATCAAACTTAAAAAAACTTGTGCACTTCACTGGGCATGGTGGCTCATGCATGTAAACCCAGCATTCCAGTGGCCAAGGAGTTTTCTGAGTTTAGTGAGTTTGAGACCAGCCTGGAGTACTTGTAAGACCCTGTCTCAAAATAGAAACAAAAGGAAAATAAATGGTAGCTCTCTGAAAGAAAATCGACAAGTCACAGACTGAGAGAGAAGATTTTCCAAAAATATTTCTGAGAAAAAGACTTATTTGAGCAGGACACAATGGCTCAGATCTGTAACCCCACCTGGAGGATCACTGTTCAAGGCCAGCCTGAACAAAAAGTGAGCAGGACCCCATCTCAACCAGTAAGTTGGTCATGGTGGTGCACACCTGCCGTCCCAGCTATGCAGGAAACCATAGGTGGGAGGATCCCAGTCCAAGGAGGGCCCCAGGCAAAAATGGGAGACCCTCTAGAGGCGCTGGCAGTCATGGCTCAAGTGACAGAACACCTGCTTAGAAAACACGAGGACTTGACTTTGAACCCCAGTTTAAAGGAGAACAAAAAGGGGACTTTTATTTGAAAACTATGAAGAATCCCTAGAATGCAATAATAAAAACTAAAAACCCAGTTTTCTCTCTGTGGACAAAATATGTGAGCAGACGATCCCAGCAGAGAAAGTAGCACAGGCAAAGGTTTTTGGTGTCATTATTCACTAGCTAAATGCAAACTAAGACCAAAAGGACGCCCACTCTCATGCCTGTTAGGGCAGCTGTGACCAAGAAGGCCTGACTCAGCGCTGACCAGGGACCCTCTGCACCACCATGGGAAGGTCAAGAGAGGCAGCTAACTTGGGAATCTGTGAGCTGTTCCTTTGCACTTTACATGCATGCTTCCACATGTGACATCAGTGTCCCCAGAGCAGCGTGAGTCATAGCAACCAGCACAGCACCTGGTGCCATGCACAGAGGGACAGGCGGGCACAAGAGACAGCAGCAAAGGACTTGGGAACATGGTGCGAGGTACGGGAGCCCTTGGCCCTAGGAAGTGCTCACATTTGCTCCACCAGCACTGAGCAGGGAAATGGTGCCACTCCTGTCGTAGGTCTCTGATATTTGGAGCATGTCTTGGGGTGGGCTTCCCTCCCACAACCCTTTACTCACAACAGGAACGTGCATGGAAAGACAGCACGTGGGGCAGGTTCGGGGAAAGTCAACCCCACGAGGGGACACTTCTCCCCGTCCCCCGAGTGCTCTCTGGAAGACTGCTGGAAGGAAAGTTCCATGGCACCCCGGTGGGAAAGAAGCAGTCAAACATGAGGACACTGTGCCCAGCCCTTGTGACATCTCTTGGTGACACGTCTACTTTGTCTGACATCTCTGCATGTGAAATAGCAGCATAGCTCAGAGTCTTGTTCTGGGAATTAGTTGTGGCACTTTCCAGGAGGGAGGCTTTGCTTCCTAAGAGGGACAAAGGCCTGTGCACCATTCCTGCAGCCTCTTGGGAACACAGCTGAAGAGCAGTGCAGCCCAGGAGCTCCTGACCAGCTTTTAGTGCTTAGTCCTCACTCAAGCAACAGAAAAGACGGTCACTCTAACTTGGTGGCCTTTTGTTTCCCGAGGTCTTTGCAGACATTTAAGTGCGCCTGGGTCTTAGGCATGGATGGATGTGTAGCGCAAGCTAAAGTGACTGTGAACTTGTCACATGGGCACGTCTGAGGCATGGCAGACGAGTGTGTTGCAGAGGAGGATTTTCCGGTTTTGCTCTGCACTGGTCCCTCGCCTGTCCCAGCTGTACTTTCTGTTCGGTTTCCGAGCGCAGGACGGTTAAGGCATTAAAGGGACCTCGCTCTAGCTCGGTGGTCAGTGTCGCTTAAACCTGTGTCCAGAGGCCGTTGACACACATGCGACCTACAGTGTTCAACTCTCGTTTCACGTGGGAAAATACACGAAGCTCTCAGGATTTACGTAGCAGTGAATGCTTGGCGAGGCAAATCTTGTGAGGCACAGAATTCTCACCTTCACCTGCTCCACAAGAAGCCAAAACCCATCACCGACTGACAAAGTCACTTGTTGCTACTTGCGTGTGTACTCACTGGATGCATTTGAATTTTTTGCAATCAGTCATTTGAGTTATTACTCACAATCATTAATTAATAATTCAAGCAAAATTAAGTGCGTTAGCTTCATCTACCTTGAAAGTGTAAAAGGCACATTGGGTACCACAGACTTCTCTGCAAGGCTTTAGGGTACCTCATTTCATTTTGCCTACCTTGAAATTCCTATGCAGAACTTAATTTGAAGCGAACAAGGTAGGTGACTTTATGATTTTAAAAAAAATTTCCAGTAGCAGTACCTTTCAAATAATATTGATAAGGTAGGGAAAGTGACTGCAGTGTTTCGTCTTGCTTGAAATAGCTATTGCAAGAGTGGGATTTGAGGGGAGAAAGCGGAAACATGTCACAGAGAAGGTGAATCTTTTCAAGTTAAGTAAAGACGTTTCTGATTTTTTAAGTTCTTAATGCATGCTTCTGATGTCAATTCTGTGATATTTTGATTAAAGTCTTTCTATGCTGATTGCTCTAATGTGTTGCTACTTACATTGTGAAATTTTCCTACCACAAATAAATCATCGGTGACATTTGAAATTTGATTTAGATTGTGACATTACAGTTACAGAACTATTGAATACTTGGTATGCATTTCTTTTAAGAATGGGGAAAATCTCTTTTCTAGTAATTTAATTGTTTCTTTTTTTTTTTTAACAACTCACTTTAGCACTTTTTGGTTTTGCAGTAGTATCATTTTAACCCCCAAACTGCATTTTCGCAGGCCAGCTAATATTTTTGCGTGTAATATTTTGAATTTGTTCTTCACATCTTTATGTTCAAGCATTTTGCATTGCCTGTTTCATTTTTTTGAAGTCCAAATGTAACAGATCTCAACTTTTTGTGTTACTTTCTTTTTTTTTTCTTTTACTGGGTAGGTTCTCTCTCTTTTGTGAATTTTTGGCAAACTTGCTGTTTTTGAATTCTCTTTTTTCCCTTTATTTTCCTCCTCAATATGACCTCAGGAGCCAACACAAAGAAAATCGCAGATGATATAAGCAGTAATGACCGTGGTGACGATGAAGGTATTTTTTGTTTTTTTCAAAGCTCAACCCTGGTGCATGATTTTATATCTGTCTATCTCTCTGTACACTTTTTTCATCTCAGTCTGCTTTTCCTCCCCGTATTGAAAACAGTACACTTGAGTGTGCCTCTTTCTTTATTTTCTTCTTGTATGGGAACCACTGTCATTTTTATTCCCAGTTACCATATAGATGACTGGAAATCACTGTGAAAAGAAGCGTAAGCCTTGCTTCTTGTCACAACATAAGTATTCTTATTTACAAACGAATGTTATTTACAAACAAATACATGTTTTTTTTTTTTGGCTTGGTCACAAGAAGAGAACATGAATTTTCAAAGCATGCATGTACACGTTCTTTGCTTTCTTCCAAATGTTATTTTGTAAATGAATATCATTTTTTTGAACTTTGGTCTTTTTAATTCTTTCCATGCACTACAACGCTGTGACCTCTCATGACCAGATCTGGGGGCATTGGCTTTAGGGTTTCTGCTTTGGTTGGTTTTTGTTTGGTTTTGATTTGCAGACCTATCAACTCCAAGATAGGTCCCACAGAATCTGCTCACAGTCAAGTACACTAAAAAGTGTTTGCATGGGATGTTATTCCTTTGGGAACTGCCCTTAGTTTAAAGAAAGAAAAACATATCGCAAAAGACAGTGCGGGTGAGGGTTGAAGAAACGTCACAGAGCGCCATGTCCACCATTCTTTTCACGCCACAGCCACCTCCACCCATTTAGTTTGTATTAAATCTTCCCAAATGGTCTGTGGCCATAGACCCTATAAGCTGCCCAGCTGCCTTGCCGGTGATCCCCCTGAACAGCTGCCGCCCCATGGGTGTTCACAAACTGAACAAATGTGAATCTCCCCCTCGGATGCGGCCCTGCCTGCCTTTTCAGTACCTTTCCTCTTGCCAATGGCGACGTGTTGGCAGGACGTCCTGCAAGGCAGCAACTGTGGCTAAAATGCACCCGAACTTCATTGGTGCGCTTTCCCACGTTCCAGTGAAGGCAGCATCAGGTTCTGGCTTCCTCCAGTTTGAATGAAACTGGGCCTGTGCTCCAGGCAAGCAGGCGACATTCATCCCTTTTCCAAGGCCATGTCTTCCGGGCAGCCTCTCACCTTCCCTGCTCCCTGCTTTTCACAAGTTAGCAGCCAGCAGCCCGGCTCGGTGAGGGCAGAGAAAGAGCAGATCGGGACCAGGCGAGGCTCCCCAGCACGCCGTGCAGGGTGTAGACCCTTCTTAAGGACAATGACACTGACTCAAATCCGTGCGTGGCCTTTGCCGTCGCTGAGCACCACCTAGGCAGAGTGGCTTTTTACTGTGTGGCTTCCTTGCCTTTCTCAGATATCCATGAGCAGAGCAGCAGGAAGCCAGTCATGGTGTACATCCACGGCGGCTCCTACATGGAAGGGACCGGCAACATGATCGATGGCAGCATTTTGGCAAGCTATGGCAACGTCATCGTCATCACCGTCAACTACCGCCTGGGCATTCTAGGTAAGTGGCCGCGCCTGCAAATGATGGTCGCCCGCTTCCTGTCCTGATGGCAGCCTGGGGACAGCCCTCCCTTCCAATGCACGCGTGGTCCCGTCAGCCCGCGCCGTCATTTTCTGACTGTTCAGGCAGAGCCTCCCCAGACCAACTCACGCCAAAGCCATAGAGGCAATGGGTCACGAAGGGTGAGTAAGCGGACACATGGGGCACAGATCTGCCTCCTGAGCACGCGTTGGCTGTCCACGAGAACAGCCACTCACGACAGCATTTCTCCCAGCCGTGGACTTGTGCGTGTCACCTTTTGTCTGTAAGAACACAGACAAAAAACCACGCCCTGGTTACACACGCACGTTGGCCGGTGAACACATCCTGAGTGGTCCCCTTACTCAATCTGAACCCAGCCAGTGTCACTTAGTACACAGGGACATCCCCAGATGCATGGACATTCCAGTTGAGCTCTGCAGGATTTTGGGTTTTCATTCGTTTCTCACATGTTGGAGGTCGTTAGACTAAGAAAAGGCACAGGAGTGTTGGGAAGAGGCAGAGGAAGCCGTCCCTCAGCCCACCCTCAGCCATCTGTGCGGTACAGACACCAGCCATAGGTTCAAGTAGACAAAAGAACCGGTGGCAGGGGACAGAGGTGGGCATAAACAGTCCCAGCCACAGGTGTGACCTGGTTGGCCATTATCTCACTCTGAGGGTCCCCAGAGGGTTCCAGAGAAGATGTCATAGCTGTCATCACTCGAGGGGACAATCTGGTTCCCTGAGAGCATTGCACTGGCTCCAGGGTGAGCAGCATAATTACAGGTCATTGTCCTCATTTGTGGGGTGTCTGTCCTACAAGTCGCCACTGTTCTTTATGGGAAGTTTCAGTCCCTTGTTTTATACGATGTTATCAATTCAGTCCTTTCTGGAATCCAAGGTGATTGCAAACTGACTGCAGAGTGAGAGCAAAGAGAGATTCAAGATGGCGGCAGGGATGCCAAGCTTCTCCTGTGTTTAGTTAATTTGAGGGCCCAAGTAGGGAGTCAGTGCTTTCAGCAAAAGCAGTTTGAGCACCTCTCACAAGTTTAGGTCATTTTTTTTCAATCTTCAAAGAATGTTTCAGTGTCACACAGACTTTTAAAGTAGAGGGTGTCTCATGGTAAAACCGTCCTTTGAAATCCTTGGAGAATTCGTTCTGGGATCCCTCAAGAGACACTGAAATCTGGGAGCGTTCACCCCCTTACATTTAGTGGTATATATGCGTGGAGATCCAATGAACAGCCTACTGTATGATTGCCATCATCCTTGGATGACTTACAATGCTTAACTGTGATGGAAATCCTGTGCAAAAAGTTTCCTACCATTAATGACAAGAAAAAAGATGCCTGCCTGTATGTGTCCGGTGTAGATGTGTGCATCACAGACCAAATTACAAACCACACATTGCTAAAATTGTATCATTTTGCAATCCGTGAATGGGTGCATTTATAAAAACACAACCTGAGGTTAAGGATGCCAAGCTTCTCCGGTTTTTAGTTTATTCGTGAACCCAGGAAGGAGTCAGTGCTTTTCAGCAAAAGCAGTTTGAGTGTCTCTTACAGTTAGGCAAAAAAAAAATTGGGGGGTTGGCTTGCTGCTAGGGGTAGCTGAGGGAGATAAGTGGCAATTAAGTCAGTCAGTTGCTCAAATGACCCTTGCTTCCCCCTCCCCAGTTACAATGGCCTCAGGCGGGTTTCTATGATTCTCTGGGGTCAGGTGTGATTTTCTGGTAAGTGGTAGGGTGTTTGTAGTAGGCTGCCTATGACGGGGAGGGTATGGTCCCAGCATGGCTGTCCCTATGTTCACCCTAACAAGGATGAACCTTGTTGCCTATTTGTGAATGATATCCCCATGTCAATGTAAAGGCAAAAAAAAAAGAAAAAAATTCTTTTCAAGGCAAAAACCAGTGCACTAAAATGGTGCAGAAAAGAGAGTTCTTAACAACTTTGCCATGAGAGTGGGACATGTATGTTGCAGCGTCGTTATGATGCAATGTAAAACGTGAAATGAAGCAGACTGATGGAGCTTCCCCAGCAAGACGTGGCCAGACAGGTTTTGCTTAAGTAGGTGATTTTGCCCGAGTTAATTTCCCACTGGATGATGTCATTTCATGGGGAGTGGCTTCTTCTTTCCTATGGGAAAACAGACTACCCAGACCCTAAGAGCTACTTTCAGCAGAAAAGCGTCCCTAGCCTGGAAATGCAAATCACCCACACACACTAACCCTAACCGTGTGGTGCTTTTTGAAGTCAGGGACTCCTCATTGCAGGTTGGATTTTGCATTAAAGAATGTGAATAACCAAAACTGACTTCCTGTCAAGAACTGCATTATTTCCTTCCTTCCTTCTTTCCTTCCTTCCCTCCTTCCTTCTTTCCTTCCTTCCTTCCTTTCTTCCTTCTTTCCTTCCTTCCCTCCTTTCTTCTTTCCTTCCTTGCTTCTTTCCTTCTGCTTTCTCTCTCACTCTTTGTTTTTTTACAGGTTTCTCTGAGCCCAGCTTTGTGACATAATTTCGGTGAACTTTTTGCACGTTTTTAGGGTATTTTTCAAAGGGTTTTTGGCTAGTTGTTTTGGGAACTATTGCTTGACACAGGAAGTTGTGTTTGTTGATGCTTTACAAAAGGTCCATTCTGACAGAGGTGGGAAGAGGAAACTCCGCAAGGTCAGTGCCCGTGGACTTTTCAAAGAGCCTAGTGTGCTTCGGTGTGTGTAATGCAGCCACACTATGGAGGTGCTTTGGGGGAGGAGGAGGGGGAGGGCAGAGCGAATGTGGCCCTAGGATTGAGGAAGGTCTCACTTGCGAAAATGTTCTTTCTGCAGCATGCAAACTGGACTGATGTCACTTGAAGGTTGCATTTCAAAGGACATTGATCTGCTCCCTAATGGAGTGCACCTGCACTGTCATTTCTTAAAGGTCTTGCCAGTCTCGGTCAAGAGCAGCCTAGGCAAAGGAGCATGGGAACGGCCCACAACTTATTTTAAGAGAAGAGGGGAAAAGGAAAAAATGTAAACAGTGTGCATCTTACCTTTTGCTACTGAGGGTTTAAAAGCGACCCTGCAACAGAGCTGCCACAGTGGTGGCTGCATCTGAAGGGCCTTTTAGCATCTCTGAGGCCATCTATTTGCATTCTGCAGATGGCTGAGCTTCTGGGAAGCGCCAAGCGCCCCACAGAGCCTTTTTGTTGCTGCACTGACGTGTGCCAGCTTCCCTGTTATTTGCTGGAGACAGGGACTTTGAAAGTGTGACCGAGTTTGTCTTCATCTCGGATTTTCGGCTTTATCATCGCCTGGTAGACACCTTCGGGAGGCATTTTATGCTGCTTTCCTTGCAGGAAAACACTGTCAGACCTTTGGCGTTCAGACATGGCAGGTGATGACCAAATTAAACAGCACCACCTCGGGGGTGGCCTGGCGTGTCAGGGTGCACAGGCCCTGGGTTTTTTCCTCACCACCAAAACAAACAAATGAATGAGCAGATGAACACATTAAATACACAAATACACCACATGCCACACACTGTGATGACCATTTCAGTGGCCGTTTTTGGTAGGAATGGATGTGTTTCTAGCAAAAGGTCGAAGTAGTTTTTCTTGTAAGAAACGTAAGAGTAAAAAAACCCATGAGTGTTTATTTCCCTATCTGAGGAACGTAAAAAGAATAATACCGTTCCAGATTATTCTGATGTTCATGGAATAGCAAGTGTTGCTTTCTTCCCGAAAAGAGAGGGTCAAACAGAGGGGTTAAGCTAGTTTGTGGAAGTAGGACCCGGGAAGTGGAAAGCAAATAGATTTCAGAGGACACATATGACAAGGGTCCTCTCTGCCTCCATGCTCGTGGGCCACAGCGAGAAAGTCCGCTCACCCCTGAGTCTCTCCTTAAGTCGCGAGTGGTTACTGCTAGGGCACAGCTCAGATGCGCCCAACACCACATGCAGCTCCACACGTTGGTCATACGGGTGACACTGTGACACTTCCTTATGTGTTTACGATACATCTTGGTTAGATCTACCCCTCCACCATTCCCCCTCTTCCCCCTCCCCCTTCTGAGAACAATTTCAGCAGGTGTCATTCTTCTGTTTGCACATATAAATGGAAATACATTCACCATGTCCACCTCTTTCACCCTTTCCTTATGTCTCCCCCCACACTGGTGCCCACCTTGGAAAAGACTTCTTTTATCCTCCTGTCCTGCATTTTTTAAAAATGTGCATATTGGTAGACCAAGGGGGTTTGTTTTGCTGTGACATTTCAGACATGTGTATATCGTGCTTTAATCAGATCGTCCCCCCATTACTTACTTTCTCTGATACCAAGCTCCCCCCGTTATTTAACAGCTTACAGTGCATTTCATTGTGTTATATTCATGTAAGTCTCAACATTTCTCATCTCTAACATTGCCTTTTCCTTCCCATCTCCTAAGTCCCCTCAGACACGCCCCGAATACAATCTTGTTCTCTCACTAATATATATATATTTATAAATGTATGGATGGTCATACACGCATTTACATGTACATCTAACCTCTAAGTCTCTACATAGGAGGGAAATCATGGGACCTTTGACCTTAAAAGGCAGGATTAAAGAGACCTGATGAGTTCACGTAGGTAAAGTTTCTCAGACCACGAGTGGTGACCAGTAATGCAAACGCACCTTGTAATTTAGGTCATTGTTGCTGTCATTGGATGTCACAGTAAGCCTGCTGTCCAACCACAGTTATAACTGTGAGTGGCCCGGTAAGTAGCTGCTAATTTCCATCACAGGTCGTCATCAACGCTGGGCCACCTTCATTAAAAACTAATCGTGAGGCACTGAAGATAGTCAGCAAATCAGTTCATCCTGATTGCTTTTGAAGTGTGATGAGTTTATCCCACGAGTGCCAGGGTGTCTCCGAGAGTCCCTGGCATGCTCTGGATGAGTTGGGACCATCCCAGCCAAATCGGTGTGTTAGGTTTAGAACTGTGGGTGGTTAAGATTAAAGTACT